GGAAGTAATTGGTTGTGTAAAGTCAGTAGGAATTGTGAAAACAGTTACTAGGACTTACAGAAGAGACAATAAGTAATTGGTTGTGTAAAGTCAGTAGGAATTGTGAAAACAGTTACTAGGACTTACAGAAGAGACAATAAGTAATTGGTTGTGTAAAGTCAGTAGGAATTGTGAAAACAGTTACTATGACTTACAGAAGAGACAATAAAGTAAGCAAGATGTATACAATTATGAAATAAATAAATAGTATTTCCATAATAACAAGAAAAAGTGTGATTACATCAAGTATAACAGAAAAATTTTGGTTTGAATTTCGTGTAAAGCTACTCGAGGGCTATCTGTGCTAGCCGTTCCAAATTTAGGAGTGAAAGTCATCACCACCCACTCTTCGGGTACATTTTTTACCAACGAAGTGACCGTACCATTGTAATGCCCCCACGGGACTGGAATTCGATCCCTCGACCCTCAGATTTCGAGTCAAGCGCCCTATCCACCTGGCCATGCTGGGCCAAACTTTAGATAAATTGGTTAGGATAGTTACATAACGTAACCTAGTTAACTATGGTAATACAGAAAGTTTAATTCTACAAAAGTATTGAAACATGAAAGTCAAAACCACAAAAGGTGGGTTACTTATAATAAAAAAAAATTCTCACTATTTTGGCAAATAGAATTGGTTTAGGGTTTTGAAGTTAAGTTAACATAATTTACAGTTGTTATATAAGTGCTGTAGCACTTCCGGTTCCCACGCCTCTGTAACACATTTAACTGTTGTGTGAAGTTATCTTTGTTTGTACTCTTAAGCTGTGAGTTTACACATTTAGTCTTAGCGAAACTATTCATGTAAGTGTTAGAACTTGTGATTTTCCTAAGGTTAAGATTTCTTGTGATGTTATAATCACTTCACAATTCCTTGAGTCAACACTGACGGCAAGCAATGGTCAACTTCATGCATTGACGGCAAGCAATGGTCAACTTCATGTTTAACGAAACAATTTCAGTACTTGACCCAACAATACCGTTTCGTTCATAACGAAATAGCTCTCAGAATTTGATACAACAATATGATTTGATCTAAGAAGACAGGCGAACCATTTTCCAGTTTGAATTACCAACATAATATCTTATATTTTGATTGTGGTTTTATTATGTTTGTGTTCAAACTGAATTATTCTAAACACAACTGCTTATTGTTTTGACTGAAATTAATGAAAAAAATACTCAAAATAGTATTTTTCATACGTTTAAAAAGTTCTGAATGGAAATAACTTAGTCTTTCTACTAAAAGAACTAACTGGTGTCTATTGAGTACAAAAATTAATTCGTTGATATCAGTATCTTTACTAAACATATGGCGATGTTTTTCACTTTCGTCGGAAATTCTATGTTCTAAGAATATTTCAATATGATAAGTTTTAAGAGACGAAATTATGGCAATATCTCTACCCAGTTATTTTTTATGCGATTTAGTAAGAGAAATACGAGACTTTAACATAAATTGAGCCTTTTTTAGCCTCGGGTAATTTCCAGAAGTATGTGTTTACGTAATAGCCGGCTTGCTGCGTGAGTTTAAAACCATGTAGTGGGTGTAGCACTTAAACTTAAAGGTTCTGATTGATTAAAATTGTAGCTTTAGTTGTGAAGGATCTCTCACGTGACAAAATCATCGATCATAAGGCACCTGGTGATTAAACCCCTGACAAGGCTTACTACTACAAAGTAACATACATTAGGCAAAGAAATTAAAAGCAGGACCACACGCATGTACCACAACGAATCCAGCAGAAAAACAAGAATTGTATCGATTTCATTAGTGACAGTTACCTTTGCGTGACTAAGATGGTAACTTTTGGTATCAGTTGAACAATGGAGATTGAGAATTTTAGAAACAACGACAAAAGAAAATAAAACTGACGTGGGTTAATTAGGTGTAGTACAATAAGATGACGTGAGGAGGAGCTTTCTGGTTTATGATTTGCTTCGCTTGTAGGAACTCTTTTGTACATAAACCAGATATAATGATTTCGACTAATAGCTGAACGACATTCGTTTTCAAATATACGAGATATAACAACTGGTTTTGCTTTTGACCTACTTCTTATCAAAGCATGATCAGAATTACTGCCGAAGATGCCACCATGTTTTTTCACAAAAAAGGAGACTTCGTTGCCAAAAGCATCCGAAATTATGAAACTGAAGATGAAATACCTAATACCAGGATCTCAAAAAGTAACAACAGTTCCATAACAGACGCTTTGAGGCCAATTCTTTTAATTCTTCGAATCTTCGCTATTCAAGGGCCCATTTCTACCACCAGTCGTTCTTCTCGCGTTGTGTTCCTTTTGTGGCGATACGTTCTTCTTAGCCTGTTACATCTATACCTCATACACCAAAGTGCTTTGGTGTTATTACATCTTGAAGATTTTTGGGACAACACTAGCAAGTTGCTTCGTATCTTGGGAGCTGCTGTTACGGTTGATATTCATTGTTTTCAACAAAACAATCTGACACGTTTCTTCTCTTTGTTTGATTACTCAGTAAACTGTCTCTCTCTACGTGTATTAAAACGTTGGAGTTACATTTTATCTTTGTTGGGCATTCTCTTTCTTCTTTTTTTAATCGGCACCTTAGTTTTTGTTATGAGGTCCATGTCTCGTGAATCTTATATAAGGGAACATTACTATGGGCTTTCACAAGACGACGTACCAATATTTTTTCTCGATTCGTTGATTATATTTGACCTGATATTCACCAATGTTCTTGTGACGGGAATTATGATTTTCGCGGCTATTTTCTACGCTACGTTATCCATTGCTGTCATCTATACATTTCGCAATTTCAACTGCGTCTTGTTAAGGACCTTATCGCAGACAAACATTCCCGTTGAAGCTCTGTTTATCCAAAATCTTCGTTTGCTCTACCAACAGTGTTGCAATTTGGTGTCTTCTTTAGACGCCATGTTTTGCAGGACCATCTCGGTGTGGTACGCCCTCGTAATCATCTGTGTGTGCGTAGAGTGTACAAGTCTCTTCACAGACGAAATAAACGAACTTTTATCCCCTAGTGCAGGCTATCTTTATGCTGCTCTTCAGATTGGATATCTGTTACTGATGTTCTTTTTAACCTCCTTGGTCGCATCCCAGATTCCCGAAGAAGCTGCAAAATCAGTGGATCAGATCCACACTCTTACTGCACCGTACAGTGCTAACAACATAGCCATTCACCTTCAGGTTCAGCTGTTTGTATCACAGCTAACTACAAGCCCAACAGGACTGACTGGCTGGAAGTTTTTTGTTATCAATCGAGGAGTAGTCCTAACAATCCTGGGAGCAATAATCAGTTATATGGTAATCGTTATACAGATGAATCCAGTGGCAATGAACGCTTTGGGCGGTTAAAATGATAACACTATGAATTGTATTTTATTGTCAAATAAACGATGTGTATAGACAGGTAAATTCTAACAAGTGTATTTGTGTATAATAATGTATTAATGTTTATAGGAAGCTGTAAGATTAATAGCTAAATAAAATATATTGTCAAATATCATAGAAGATGTATAATATCACGCAGTTATAAAAATAAAAGTCACCAGTTTTTCTTACTGCCTAGTTTGTTATAGATTTCGCGCAAACCTACACGAGGGCTATCTGCGCTAGCCGTCCCTAATTTAGCCGTGTAAGACTATAGGGAAGGCAGCTAGTCATCATCACTCACCGCCAACTCTTGGGCTACTCTTTTACCAACGAATAGTGGGATTGACCGTCACATTATAACGCTCCCACGGCTGAAAGTGCGAGCATGTTTGGTGTGACGGGGATTCGAACCCGCGACCCTCAGATTGCGAGTCGAGCGCCCTAACCATTTGGCCATGCCGGGCCCCTTACTGCCTAAGAAGCACCAAGTGTACCCTGTGACCTCGGTAAGATAACAAAATTTGATGTTTTATTTTGTATTATCACTATCAACCTTCGTTATTATTCGTTGATTCTAAGACAAACTGTAAATCTGTTACTGGTTTCCACAGATCACCATACAGTTTTAGTAGTAAATGGCATATACGTATAAATGTCTTGGGTAAATAAAAAATAATTATTTTTTAAAGTAACCAAAATGTTTTTGATAATGTGGCCATCTTTCCTGAACTATTTAGTAGTTGATTTGCCATAATGAATATTGGAGTGGTGTGAATACAGTTATAAAATTTTGCTTTAGGCCAAAACAAGATATTATTTACAAATGTGTTTTTAGTTGGTCTTGGTCAGGACTTACATCTAACACTGTCCTACAGGTCCAGACTATGACTTACATCTAACACTGTCCTACAGGTCCAGGTCATGACTTACATCTAACACTGTCCTACAGGTCCAGGTCATGACTTACATTTAACACGTCCTACAGGTCCAGATCATGACTTACATCTAACACTGTCCTACAGGTCCAGACCATGACTTACATCTAACATTGTCCTACAGGTCCAGACCATGACTTACATCTAACACTGTCCTACAGGTCCAGATCATGACTTACATCTAACACTGTCCTACAGGTCCAGATCATGACTTACAGCTAACATTGTCCTACAGGTCCAGACCATGACTTACATCTAACATTGTCCTACAGGTCCAGATCATGACTTACATCTAACACTGTCCTACAGATCCAGATCATGACTTACATCTAACACTGTCCTACAGGTCCAGATCGTGACTTACATCTAACATTGTCCTACAGGTCCAGATCATGACTTACAGCTAACATTGTTCTGCAGTTCCAGATCATGACTTACAGCTAACACTGTCCTGCAGGTCCAGATCATGACTTACATCTAACACTGTCCTACAGGTCCAGATCATGACTTACATCTATCTCCAGTCCCTCTGATCCCCACCCCCACCCTAGTGGCTCAGCGGTAAGTCTGATGGTTTATAAAGTTGAAAACAGGGTTTCAATACCCTTGGAGAACACAGCAGAGATAGCACATTGTGTAGCTTTGTGCTCAGCTAAAAACAAACTACTATCCCTCCCCCATCCCCGACAAGACACTACCCAAGTAGCCTTTCATCATACTAGAACTCGCCAGTTGCTGGACAATGAAAGAAAAGATTCTCTGAACTCAACTCTATTTATATACACAGATGAAATGCTGAAATCTGGCGAAACGTTAGAAAATAACAGGTCCAAAATTTATTATGTTTTTTTTCCACTTTCCTCTTAATTTATCCAAACCGGACTCAAAATCAGAAGCGTGTATAAACAGAGCTTCAGGTCTATCTTCTGTCAACATAAGTTTTCTGTTTATGTTATTTTTGGCACAATATTTGAGCTTGTTACTTTATAGTGATTCGGCAGCTTTCGGCGTTTGAACCGTAGTAAAGAAATAATTTAAACAAAGAGTATCTGGCATACATGTGTTTTGGTCTAGTTCGTTCAAAAAATATTTCGATTTACTTTTCTATGTCTCACTTTTAATTATTTATAATACAAAAGTATTTGTCAAGTTCATAAACTTTATCGTTGAGCAGACTATATGAAAAAACTTTATTATCAGGATTCAATTCCATAGGCAGGAAACATTTTGAAAAGGACTGATGGTTCTTTTAATCCAAGAAAATTTTTTCGGAGTAAGAGAAAAAAAATAATTATAAAATCATTAATATTTGCAGTTTTGCATGAAGTTGATCACAATTTGTTTCACCGCTTGGCGTATCTACAGATTGTTTGTAAAACCTTACGTTAAGACTCGTGATATAAAGTACTGTTACGACAGCGGGGGTCACGTGACGCTAGTAGCACGTCATATTCTCGAACGTTCACGTCCCTTCCTGAAGTCTCGAGAGCCTACTAGATATGCGGTAGTCCTGTA